TTTCAGCACAGTTTATACCTCCAATGAAGACCATATTGGGCATCGCCAGTCTGGGATACTCAAACACAAAGTCATATAGCCAACCGCTAGCACTCTTATTCTTTAAGCTTAACAAGAAGCAAAAAAAGTTGCTCCAAGTCCTGAGTGATTGGACATCAGGGCAAGACTTATAAGGAAGAGCTGAGACCTCCTTTTAAAGCTCTGAGAAGGGGAAATGAGGGGAAACCTCATGGTAGCCTGAAGCTCCCCATGGTGCTCAATAAGTCTCCAGGGCTGTGGACACAGCCCCGAGCTGCTAGAGCTCAGGGAGTGTTGGGACACTGCTCTCAGCCATAAGAGTTGGGTTTTGAAAGGTTTCTGTGGAGCCAGGAGATGGACTCAATGATCCTTAAGGGTTCCTTCCCATTTGGGACATTCTAGGATCCTAATACATTTGATACCATAGGTTTCTACGTTAAGTCAGAAGGAATCATTCTGCAATTGAATCTGGTGTTTTTTTTGCTGCTGAAATGTCACGCATAAGGATTACAGCAAGTTGGTAGATGCCAAAACAAACCTGGTTATCCAATGGACACCAGGCAATGGCTGTAAGAAAGCAATAACAATCCATATACAGAATAGCCTCCCAGACTCCAGTTAGAGTGACTCAGGGAGCTAGACCCAAGGGAACTAAACCTTGTGACTTTGTATTACATATCCTTTTAGGTGTTTTGCTACACAAATTTCTCCTGTAACTGGGTCATCCCAGCCTTCCATTCTCTTATCTATGGGTACTCACAGGGTACTGTGTTTCAGAGAACTATCTGTTCTTATCACAGGATTGTATTTCTGAACAGTAGTGATCGACACAGAGCTTACATCTGTGTATGGATACACACCACTTATTTGCATGTTTACACTCTGATGCATGTTTGCTTTGCTGCAGGGTGCTGTTCCAGGCAAAATAGGACAAATGCTAACATTTTCCATACAAAATATAACCAGAGAGAAGGGAGAAGGAATACAGAAGGTTTTTAAAAGTGCAGAAAACATGATTTCCACACAGTGACGAAAGTCATTATGATGATAGGAGGCACCGGGTATAAAATACAGGAAGAATAGTTATACTCCTTTGGAAAACAGCCATCTACAAACTATTGGCAGACCTGAGACCTTCATAGTATCACATGGTATACCATTACTGGAAAAGACCTCCAAGATCACCTAGTCTGACCATCAGCTTCAGGATATAAAGACATGTAAAAGGATAGAAAACACTTCTGTCATGCAATCAGCAAGAACATCTGCAAGTACATCCAAAATCTAAATCAGTAAATTATCACTCTCTTCAGCCAAACACAAGGAAATGTCTGCATTCAGCTTATTCTGTATTTGCCTTGCTGAAATTCACTGGAAACTGAATAAACCCATGAGCGAGTATAAGTGCAGAAAGAAAAGAAATTTAACTCAAAGAAACTGTGGTACAAATATGTAATAATACCATGTCAGCACATTTCAGAAGTGAGAAGGAAATATCAGAGGAAAGCAATGTGTGTCCTCCTCCATGACTAGTAAGAAATGTCTGATGCTACTAATTGTTTTAACTAGATAGGCTGTCTATAAAACTCCTGCAGAACAATTCTGATAAAAGCCAATGTCAAAAAACACAAATGAAAAATGATTAGCCAGTTAGGAAACATCATGTTATGAAAATAGAAACAATGCAAATTAATTAAAAAATAATTTTTCAAATTAATGAAATGCATTTTATCATTCAGATGAAGGAAATACTAGTTACACTGCATGAAGATGAAACTATGCCTGCATCTGACAGAATAGTATGTATTCACTGACAACAGTATACAGAAAATGAAGTCAAACATTGGATTTCTCTGAAAATAGTAATTCAAGTAACAGCCACCTGCCAGCATTTCAGACCACGGAATAACAGTAGGCCAAGAATCAGATCTGTTAAAATATTTTGGAAAGAAAAATAATATCAAGTACGCTAACCATCCCTAAGCCATGAAATTGCATTGCTTTGGGAAATGTGTAATTTGAGAAAATGAACATACCTTAGGCAGTGGTTTTTTCTCAGCACAGTTTATACCTCCAACAAAGACCATATTGGGCATCACTGGTCTGGGATACTCAAACACAAAGTCAAATCTCATTATTGAAATAGAAGCAGAGTTCAGGAGGTCCAGCAGGGTTACGTCTCTTTGAAGAATTTTAGAGGAAAACTGTATTGCATCTTGATAGAGGACATTACAGTAAAAGCGCTCCAAGAAAGAAATCAGTGTATTCTCTACTCTCTGGAAAAATGTCATGTGGTCTGAATTGAAGGAAAGTGTTCTGGGGACATACGACAGAGGGCTTGAGCACTGTGCTGCATCAAAGTGTAGATTGCAAGGTAATCCTCTCATGAAGAACACAAATGGAAGCGAAAGGTAATTAGCAACTGTTGCTCCACACATAAAAAAGGGATCTGTGAGGACTGCGTCGAAGTTGCTTTGATTCAAGTACTGCAGAGTTTCTGTGCTGTTGAACAGTTCCTTGCACTGACCATAAAAGGCTTCAATAAGTCGTTTGAAAAAATTGAAGAGTACTAAAGCATATTTTGGGAAAGGCATACTCTTGAGGTGAGCTTCAAGATACACTTTAAAGGTATTATCCAGATCTTCAAACTTGGTGGACACTGGGTATGTTTTCACAGTATATGCGTGTCCCTGTTTGTCATCCGTATTCCAGCTTGCTTCTGGTTTAACCACCACCACTTCATGTCCTCTCTTAGCAAGCTCATGAGCTACTTCCCTCAGGCTTAGCCAGTGGCTTCCAATCATGGGCACCACCAGGAGTTTCCCTCCTTCAGAAAGGCCAGGAATGAGGAGGATAAAAATCCCGGCAGCAAGTGGATAGCAAAGCCGCAGCGTCATTGTCCTGTGGACAGAGCACTGACTGTGAAACTGTCTCCTACTGCAGGCTCTAGCTTGAATATGCTTTCACAGGTTGTGATTGGATGTATTTGCTAAGCTGTGCTGTTTTTTGTTTATATTCTAGTTAATGTTTTACTCCTGAGATCTGTGCTGATTTGTGGGTGAGTGCTGTTGTTGCCTTTTTTTTTTTTTTTTTTAGTTACTTGTACTGCCAAATACAGTGACCCTTCACTGTGTTGACTCACTGGAGTTCTGCAGTGCTCAGTGAAGAACTAGCTCCTTTACATCCCAATTAGTTTTCTTAAAACATTTCTGTTGATCACTGTTGTGCCCTGGTCAGGGTAAACGAAGGCAAGTTTGGTGAAAAGAATTCACACAGTACAATAACAAATGAAAAGAGCCTCAACACATTAGATTATGATTGGATACACAGATGTTCAGAGAATTTCTCTGAAAACAGAACAGAAGGATGTTGTGTTACTGACTAAAGTGAGATTGACAAAGTCTTCTGGGCTACCAGATAGGGAATACCCCTGCAGCCTACAATGTAGCACTAAGATGAGACATTTAGAGAGTAGTCTGACATCTGCAGCAGAGATCTGTGTATTTGAAGTCCACCATCTTACTTTCAAGGAGCAATGCAGTTTTTTTCACAGTCTAGGAAACGGCCATGAAACTTCTGTTATGCAGCTGAAAATTCTTCACCAATATAGATATCAAGTAGAATCAGATATAACATGGTATACCAAATATGTGTAAAGGTCTCACAAAAAAGACTCACATGCGCGCCCAGTTATCAGACCTGATTTTTAGCAAAAGAGCAGAGCGCAGCTTGTGTTCTACCAGGGAAATGCCCTGCCCTCTTTTAGGCTTCCACTACTGACTATATTGCAGCATGACGATCGGAAAATCCAAACTTACAACAGTGCTAATAGGGAAGGTAAAGGGTGCAGAGTCAAACTGAGGACGAGGGAAGTTAATCAGTACTACAGAAGAGCTTCCATGTGTCTGCCGGTTCTCCAAGGCCTCACTTATTTTGCTGGATTATCTGGCAAGGGTTTATGTATGAGTTAATCTTTTCTGGGCTCAAGGCAGCGCTGGATAACAGCTGGTTTCTTCTTAAACTGATTTATCCACACAAGGAGACAGTTAGGAACTTCAGGCTTGAGTGGGAAAGGACATAGTTGGGGCATGATGAAGGAGGAACTGTGCTTCATCTGAAAATGCACCCTTTTGAGTGATAGGACAAGGGGGAATTGCTTTAAATTAAGAGAGGATAAATTTAGGTTAAATGTCAGGCAGGAATTGTTTCTTTGAGGGCAGTAATGCACTGGTACAGGCTGCTGTGGTGCCCCATCCCTGGAGGCATTCAAGGGCAGCCTGAGCAGAGGGGTTGGAACTGGATGGACTTTAAGGTCCCTTCCAACCTCAGCCCTTCTGAGATTCTCTACGGAGGACCTTGGGGCTGTGCTGGTAAGGCACAGCATGACGTAGGGCCATAGGCACAGAGCTGCCACGGCACGGCGGACTCCATCCCCCAGCAGGCCCGGCAGGGCCGGCCCCTCAGCGCACTTTGCGCCGCGCCAAAACAAAAATGGCGGCAGCGGCGACAGAGAGGCGGCGGCTTTGGGCCGTCTGCTTGCTCTGAGCGGTGCGGATCCGGCCTTTTCCCGGCCGGAACCGAGACAAGGCCGAGCGGAGAGTGGAGTGCTGCCGCAGTTGCCTGGCGGGGTGGAGCCGGGTGTTGGGCGGGGGTGCAGCCCGTGAGGGGAAGAGGAGGCTGAGAAGAGGTGGGAGGCTGGCGGCGGAGGTGAGGTGAGGTGAGGTGAGTGGTGGGGGGGCGTCTCGTTTCTTCGAAGGGAGCTTACAGGCAGGAGGGAGAGCGGCTTCACGTGGCCCGGTAGGGACAGGACAAGGGGGAGTGGATTTAAACTGAAAGAGGGGAGCTCTGGATTGCATATTGGGAGGAAATTACTGACTCGTTGAGTGATGAGGCGCTGCCCGGTGAAGTTCTGGGTGCCCTGAGGCGTTGAAGGATGGGGGATGGGCAACCATTTTTGTTGGCAAGCAGCCCCAAGCCCCACCTGCCTGGAACTAGATGGGCCGGAAGGTCCCTTCCAGCCGAAGCCGTGCTGTGATTTTACTTTTCTAATCCGTATTTTATGACTTTTAAGGGAAGGAAAGTGCTGGCAGCATGTTGTGGTTTAAGCCAGCAGGTGGCTCAACACCGCGCAGCCTTGCTCTCGCTTCCCTCCTTCCCAGTGGGATGGGGGTGGGGGGGAAGGCGACACAACCAAAGTAGAACTCGTAGGCTGAGATAATTATTTACCAAGATAGAGAAAAGGAGAAGGATAATAATTACGACTATAATTACGACATACGAATTTATATTACAAGTAGTGCACAAGCAATTGCTCACCACCCCCCTGGGAAATGCCCAGCTAGCCCCTGAGCAGTGGAAGAGAGAGAGAAATGAGCTCTCTCCTCCTTCAGAACACCTTTTGCTTGATGCCGTGTGATATGGAATATTGCTCTGTTCAGTTTAAGTCAGCTGTCCTAATTCTGTTCCCTCTAACCTCCTCGGGCCCTTTGCTGCAGATGGCCTTGGCTCTCTACAGCGCTGCTTAACAGCTGCTATAAACATCAGCGTATTACCAGTATTGTTTATCTCCTAGAACCAAAACAAAGCATAGTGCTAGGCACTTGGTAGAAAACAATTCCTTCCCAGCTGAAACTAAGATACAGTAATGCTTTGAGGGTCCGGAAGCAAGGAGTGAAGGAAGGTTTGCTATTGTCCCACTTACCTGCTTCTCTGGAGTGGTGAGGGGTGCTCAAGTGAGCAGTGCTTCCCAAGTGTGCGTGCTTTTATGGTGAGCAAGCCTATTAGGATCAAAGTATGTGTTCACATGAGAACAGTATGAATCATAATCTTTGTCTGGTTAAATGGTAAACATTGACACACCCACTGTAAAATAGATGAAGGCTGAGAGCTTTTGAACGGTGCTCAACTTATCAATCATGTTTGCAGCAGGGGAGGTGAGATAAAGGTTTTAGAGCTGCATTCAGAGTAGAAAAAAGCATTGAAAAAAGATTTATCCCGTGTGTGTGTTCATTATTCCAACTGCATGATTTCATTTTTGAAGGAGTTTTAACATGCATATGCATTGTATAAAGTGATAAAGAATAAGAGTGAATGTTCCCATGCTGCTTCATAGTCAGCTTCTCAGAGCAACGCCTTTTGCATAAAAAAATAGGCAAAAGGACTAAAATTATTTAATGTAATGATGAGGTTGTGGATGCCCTATCCCTGGAGGCATTCAAGGCCAGGCTGGATGTAGCTCTGGGCAGCCTGGTCTGCTGGTTGGCGACCCTGCACATAGCAGGGGGGTTGAAACTAGTTGGTCATTGTGGTCCTTTTCAACACAGACATTCTATGATTCTATGTGATTTTATAAAAAGAGATTTGTTAGATACTTGAAGAACTAGCAGCTGGTTGAGTGGGGAGCTCAGAACTTTTGGCATTTAAAAAGATATTCAGTAAGGTTTGCCACTGAAGGCTCTCTAGGAAAGTAAGCTGGCACAGGAGAAGAAGAAAGTTTTTGCTTGATTGAATAGTTGAGTAAAAGATGGGAAATTGAAGATGAACCCTCACAGAAGGGAGTAAGATGTAGTTTCTCTTTTTTCTAGGGCTCTTTTGGGGTTCAGCATCAGTAATCTATTAGTCAAAAAAAAAAAAGAAAGTGAATTTTGAAGTGAGTATTTTTTCTTGTGATATCTGCTGATACATAGCAATAAAAATGAGCACCGTTAGTGAAGCTTGCCCATCTTCAAGCTACTGAGAAGCTGAAGGATGCAGTAGCTGATAATGCTGATTGTAGGTAAATTCGTGTGTAAACTATGTGCGTAGTGTCTGAGTTTGAAGTGAATGCACAGCAGAGTGCTGGCATGATTGGCGTGATTTAAAAAAACCACAACAACAACAAAAGTAAGCATTTCTAAGATGAATGCTCAGCGCTTGAACAAGAACCAAACAATGCTTATTTAGCTATAGCAACCCGTGGTTTGCACACCTCTGGAACTTTATAAGGGTAATAGAAGATGGAGGACTCACTCAGTTGTAAGAATGGATCATAGAATCCTAGAATGGCCTGTGTTGAAAAGAACCACAGTGCTCATCCAGTTCCAACCCCCTGCTGTGTGCAGGGGCACCAACCAGCAGACCAGGCTGCCCAGAGCCACATCCAGCCTGGCCTTGAATGCTTGCAGGGATGGGGCATCCACACTTTTGGGTTAATGTGATAAAGAACCATAAAATTGCAAGTAGGATTAAGGTAGATTGGGAATGATTATTCAGTGCTTCAGTATAATTCATGGGTTATTCGTTTCTAAAACAAACATTTGCAGCACAGTAAGAGAAACTAGGGAGTGGCAAGTACAAAACAAAAGGGATTGAAGTGAGGGATCTTGTTACGCAAGGAACGGTCATAGAGCTACCAAAAAGACTGAAAAAAACCCTCAAAAATGTGTTTTTTTTTTGACAGAGTTTCTGGGTTGCACAACATCTGGAAGCAAAGAAGATATTTTGCTAAAGTATTGCTGTATTTTTGCCCATGCATTGCACTGTTTCTATCTGAACTAGCTGGAGACAGATTTTATGTGTATGTGGGTTTATTGAGAAACACAGTGCCGGCATATTCAGTAATTCTGGGGACCTTGCATGCGTTTCCTGCAAGAAGTACCTAAAAAACTAGTAATTAATAGATGTTTAGAATGATCTGTTGATTTTGGCATACACATTTGTGCTGATGCAAGAGTGAAATCTGACAAAGTTGATTCTAGTTAAAAGCATGCTGAGATGAAAGCTTCTAATTTGCCCTTTTTTGTTACACTAATGTGTGTTTCTGTATGCATATGATGTTCATTTTTAGAATAACAGAATAAGATTTTTTTTTTTTTTTAAAGGCATAAACAAATTCTACAGTTGAAGAGAAGGCCAGAGGATCTTTGAGGGCTTGAGAAGGGTGGATTCAACTGCATTTTTCATAGTAAACAGATTATTCTGTGTTTTTAAAGGACTGTTTTTTTTTTTCACGATGTTTGGGGACTTATTCGAAGAGGATTTTTCCTTTATTTCAAACAATCATTATGGAAAAGGGAAGAAATCAAAGCCCAAAGATTCTGAGCCTCCAGCTCCCAGGGATTTCACCAATCTTAGTGGTATCAAAAACCAGGGTGGGACCTGCTACCTCAATTCCCTTCTGCAGACTCTGCTTTTCACACCAGAATTCAGAGGTACTGTGTTCAGAACCTTCTTAAAGTAATCTCCATTGATATTTTGTAGCGACTTGCATCTCTGATTGTTTATTAAAGAAATGCTGCGAGCATAAACGGTTTATTTCAGTTGAATTGAAGTGAGTTGTTACAGAATAGCCAGCTTTTGGTCTCTAAAATTAGTATTGTCAGTTCTACACAAAATAGAAATGTTGTACACATTGTATCTTAAACACCTACTGCTTGTGAAAACAAGTGAGGCTATTGCTCTACATAGCATGCCATTTATTTTGGAGTGCAACCATTACAGTTCATGGAAGAAAAAAGTATTTTGCCATCTGAACATCCCATGCTTCCATGTGTTTTTTAGCTTGAACCGTGTCTAATGATGAATGATGTTGAGATGTTGCATGACTTTTTGACAAAAAGTGACAATTGTAACAAGTCCTCAAAGAAAAAGCATTACCTTTTTTCCTTAATGAGTCATTTTTCTTTACAATTACAGAGGCACTGTTCTCTCTAGGACCTGAAGAGCTTGGGACTCTGGATGATGTCAGCAAACCAGATGCAAAAGTATTTAAAATCTTCTTCTGTTTTGTCACTGTTCGGTGTTGTTCTGTATGGTTTGAAACAATATTTTCATGTGTGAATGAAAGCTGAGCTTTGATACCAAAAGGCTGGTTGGTTGAAATCCTTTTTGCACACAGATGCAAAATCACAGAATGGATCACACAGGATCATAGAATGGCCTGGGTTGCAAAGGAGCACAATGCTCATCCAATTCCAACCCCCTGCTGTGTGCAGGTCACCAACCAGCAGCCCAGGCTGCCCAGAGCCACATCCAGCCTGGCCTTGAATGCCTGCAGGGATGGGGCATCCACAGCCTCCTTGGGCAACCTGTTCCAGTGCCTCACCACCCTCTGCATGAAAAACTTCCTCCTCATATCCAACCTAAACCTCCCTGTCTCAGTTTAAAACCATTCCCCCTTGTCCTATCACGATGTCCATCCTCATAAACAGCCGTTTCCCTTCCTGTTCATACTCTCCCTTAAATACTATAAGCTTTTCCTTCAAGAGTAAGGTGTTGAGCCTGTTTCCACTGGGTTTGGTAGCAAAGGTTCTTCAGTGGAAGCAGAAGTGATCCCAAAGTTTGTTCAGAGCCTTTTTGTTTTTCTCCGCTGTAACTAAAACTACAGTGCTCTGACTGATCTGCCACCAGTCAAAAACTAAAAATAAAAACAAAGTGTGTGCAGACCGGGTGACCGCATCGAGATTCTGCAGGTTTAACAGCCCACCTATACTAAAAACATTATGGGACTGTGATTTCGTATTTATTTTAGAAGTGCTTACTAAAATTGACTACTTCAGCAGGTCTGCTAAACTGCTTCAGTTTCATTCTTTAGCCTTTGGGTTGACATATCACAGTTAATTGCTTGGAAATATGAATTGCTTTGTAAATCAAAGATTAAAAGTAGGCAGCTGACAGTGATTATTGACATTGATCCTTCTCCTTTCACCTCATCGTCTGTCCTTTTCCTGAACAAGGAGTAGCAGTTGTAACTGTGTTCTTAGATTTCAGGGTTATGAAAAGTAGGAAAGTTGTCCTTTTGTGCTCTGGTGTGGTTTTATTTAAATCCATGCAGTCTTGCTTTATCACAAAGCTCATGTTCCATGACTGTATTGAATATGGAGGGGGGTTGTGTATGTTTGGGATCTGATGTTCTGATGAGAGTCGAGTTATGAAAGTGATTGTTAGTCGTGGTCTGTTAGAGGTTCTGTTCTGTTTATTTTGACTAAATTCCATAAGTTTATTTCAATTGTTGATTTAAAGATATATTTTGCTTCTTTTATACCCAGGTTCGGATAATTCCATTACAGCTTCAGCGGTTATTTGCCCAGCTCCTGCTCTTAGATCAGCAGGCTGCATCTACAACAGACCTTACTGAGAGCTTTGGTTGGAGCAGCAATGAGGTACAAGTCAGCACCTGTGGCACCACTGATGCTGAAGTCTGGCATTTAAAAAACTAGCTTAAAATATTTCAAGCTGTGGAGATAGCAATTAATTGGGCCAGCTTTTCTGCTGTGCTGTTGTATCTTCACATGCACTATGTGTTAGTTGTTTCCAGTCAGCAGCAAGAGAAAATTGTTCCTTTAAATACATTTTGAGTAGCTGTACCATTGTTTTTGCAGGAATGCTTTTTCAACAGTAATTTGGCTATTTGTCTGTAGTTACTTAAGTTTCTGTTCTCTGTGTAACGCATCCTTGAGCTTAGTGGAGATCTACACAGGTGAAACTATGTCTCATGTGTTATATTTTATGCACTTTTAACTACTTCAGAAAGCATGACTGAATTAAGAATAACTACTACTAATACATTTTTCTCGAAGTGGCAAATATATGGGTAACCATTGAGACAGCTTTCTGGCATGCGTAGTTTAAGTTGTTTTTAAGCAATAGACAAAGCAAATGGCACAAAGTTTATTTCTTTAAGTTTGTTTTTTGTTGTGCAGGAAATGAGGCAGCATGATGTGCAGGAACTGAATCGGATTCTGTTCAGTGCTTTGGAGACTTCCCTTGTGGGAACTTCAGGTCACGACCTTATTAATCGATTGTACCATGGGACAGTTGTCAACCAGATTGTTTGTAAGGAATGCAAGAACATCAGTGAGAGACAGGTAATGCTGGAGGATTTTCTGTGTTAGGTTTCTGTTTCCTTGCTCGGTCCAAAAAGAAACCAGATGGCATCTTTCTGCAGCATCACTGGTGGTTATAGTGGATCTAGATATTGGTTAGGGCACTGCAGGCTTGCAGGTGTGTGGAAATTGTGCGTGACTGACCGTTGCTAAATCTTAGCTGGAATTTTGTAAGCCATGTGTATCGTGATGTGACTCATGAGCTTAAAAAAAAACCAAACAATCAGCAAGCATTATTACATCTGAGTTGGTAAGTTCTGCCTGTGGATGTAGTTATCAGACAGCTGAACAGTGGGGTAACAACAGTAAAACATCTTTACGTTGCTTTACTGCTCTTGTAAACTACTTACTATCTCTTTTTTTGTTGCTGTTGTTGTACTTCTGCGTAGGAAGATTTTTTAGACCTAACAGTGGCAGTAAAAGGTGTAGCTGGTTTGGAGGAGGCCCTGTGGAACATGTATGTGGAAGAGGAATACTTTGAAAATGAAAACTTGTATCGATGTGGAGCCTGTGATAAACTGGTTGAGGCATCAAAGGTAATGCATCAAGTCATTGTCAGTGTTTGATTTGCTAATGTTTTGAGACTTCACTTACATTGCTGTGCCTACCCTCTGGCCCCAAAATAAAAAAAATTTTACAAGAGCATGCCAAAATTGGACTTGCTTTTTAAATCTCAGCAGCTTGTGTGATCCATTTCCTGACTTGAATGTTGTTGCAATCTTTAAGTAATGATGAGTGGGACAGCATGTAGTTATGAGAATACTGCTGCATTCACATGCTTCTACTGCACCTGGCTGTGGGCATTTCAGAGCATAGGCTGAAAGACAAGCTAGAGCCCAAAGAAAAGAAGGAGATAAACTATCTGGAAATTCTTACCTGAAGAGCACCTGTGGCAGAGAAACATAATAAATAATTCCCTGCTTTTGGCAGGGAAATGGGGTCTCTTGATTTAGGTATTGCATTGTTTCTCTGATGTTGAACAGCTTGCAGTGATGTGTTAACAGACTGAAAAAGTCTGCTGCAGTGGGTAACATAGAAGTAATTACTCAGGTTTTCCAGCATCTATGGCAATGGCTGTGTATGTTTTCACAGCCTACACCTGTGTCTTTTCCATCTGTCAGCTTACTTCTGGTATAAGCACCACCATGTCATGTCTTCTCTCAGCGACCTAAGCCACATGCTAAGCCGGTGGCTTCCAGCTCTGGGCTCCACTGGGGGTCCTGTCTTTCCTCTTACTCTTGCTAAAAGGCTGTAAAGGCAAAGCAGACATAAACAGCTAATAATGCACTTTGCCTTTGACTTGTTGTCCCTTCTCCACAACAACGAAGCTCTTCGTCCTGCTGTGGTGACTGTCCGGCATCAGGATGAGCAAACCTTGTATCATGTTTAATGTGGAAAGGAAAAGGTGCAGATGCAAGTTCAGGTCACAGTTAATCAGTACCTTAAAGGACTTCAGGAAGTTTTGTCAGTGCCTCACATGGCTTGGTTATAAATGTTTGAGTTCAGTTTCCCTGAGTTCAAAGGGGAGTGCAAGATAACAGTTTGCTACCTTTGAAATTTGATCGTTCACTCAAGACAAGGGGAACTTGGAACTTGGAACGTGAAGTTGCTTAACTATGGATTGACAGCATGACTGGGGCCACAGTGTAGCATATGCAGTGTGCATGATCGCGGTTGCCTGCGGAGACTGAGGAACCTGCTGAGTCACGCTGACAGAGCCATGCACTGTGACCCATACCTAGCAACACCTCTCCTCCATTTCTTCAGTATTCTCTGGGTCTTTGGATGTTATTTCCTACCCTGTTTTGAAGAACCCTGCTTTTGCACCAGTGTTTCTGCTGTGCTTACACACCTTGTTGTTTGATCTCAGTGAATTAGGTGTTAGGTGAATGGTTGGATTTGATGATCTTAAGGATCCAATCTAAACAATGCTGTGATTCTGCCTTTCTAAAATGGGCTATGTTTGGCTTCCCTGCCTAACGTTTCCCACCACTGTAAGTAAAATAAAGTGAAGAGAGATTTTAACGCTTGCTTGATTGTTCTGTGGGTGTCTGTAGTCTTCCAGGGTACATCAGACACAACCTCATCTTGTTTATCACAGGCCACTGATCTTAGTCAAGGCTGTTTTCTTCAGTCAATCTGGCAAATGTTAAGCAATGTGCCACTGTGAGATCTTCTGGTGATGTATTTTAGACCATTTCTATTGAATTCAGAAGCAGTCCAGTAGTTGCAGCAGATGAAAATTACTGTCTTGATTTTTCAGCAGTGTGCTCCTTCATTTTCATAGCAGGATTAAGTATGGGACTGGTGATCATTGAGGGTGTGGACTGCAATGTAAGGGAAGGATCTTGATTGCTTTACTTATGTAGTAAAAATACATAAATACCAGTCTTGTCTGCCTCCTTGTGACGAAAGTAGAGTCATAGAACTGACCATAGCAAGGTTATTCTGTGTAACAATGTGCTTATAACTTTTTTTTTGTCATGTTACAGTCAGCTAAACTACATAAGTTGCCTCCCTTTCTCACCATCTCTCTCCTGAGATTTAACTTTGACTTTGAGAAGTGTGAACGATACAAGGAAACTAGTTGCTATACCTTCCCTATGCAGATAAATCTGAGGCCTTTTTGTGAGCAGGTTTGTACTGTTATATTTGTTGAAGTTTCTATATGCTCAGCAGAGAACTGATATTTTTAGGTCAAGGTATCTTTAATTCTGCATTTCACAGAATCACAGAATTGTAGGGGACTAATTGTACTAATTTATTCAAAGCCAGATGATAAGGAAACTTCGTGGGCTTCTCCTGTGTCCTTAGTTCAATGCTTTAGCAAAAATGTTTCCAAAAGATCACTTTCTAACAGAGTGAGAGAAATACCTTATTGCTGTACAAGGTGGGAGAGTTTAATAACGACCTAAAACTTAATCTGACATTTGCTTGAAAGAAAATTAAATCTACTTTTGTATTAACTTTGTCTGGTAACTTACATACGTGTGTGTGTGTATTGTCCTATATAAAACCAGCTACAAATGTTTTTCAGTTATTCCATTTTCCTAGTTTCTCTTTGAATTACTGTACATCTATTCTGGTGCATAACTCAGTTTTCCAACCTGATGTTCCATTGCCTGATGCCAGCTTTTGTTCCTTGAAGTATGTGAAGAACATGCTTAAGGGATGCACTCTCCTTAAAGAGGGTTTTGGTTTTGTTTTTTTTTTTCTAGCTGCAATGTTGCAGTGCCAGCTCAGGGTTTGTATTTGGGGATGCCTTTTTTCAGTTGGTTTGTTAAGTGTTTGTTTAAAAGGCTAGAGAAAAACAAAATAAGTTGGTTATAAACATCAGGTTGAGTTCTATTATTTGCATCAAGATTGAAATATTTCAATATTAAAATAATGAACTGTTACTCAGAATCACTTTTGTCCACACTTGTGTTCTGCAACACTGAAAAGCCCCTTCAGTCTTGGCACATGCAAAGGTGTACAGAGATATCTGAAGCTATGCTGGTGGTGTAGAAGCATCCTTGTGTGAAAAACTTGCTGATATATATTATTATTGTTATTATTTTTCTTTTTGAAGACTGAAATGGATGATTCAGAGTACATGTATGAGCTCTTCTCTGTTATTATACATAAAGGTGGCTGCTATGGAGGACACTATCATGTTTATATCAGAGATGTGGATGAATTAGGAAACTGGCAATTACAAGTAAGTGCTGAATATTGTGGGTTTTTTTTTTCCTTGCTTGTCTCTTATATTTCAGAAAAGCGTTAAGAGCTAGAGAATGAAATGGGCATCCAAGCTAATTCATATTTTAGTGAGGCATTTGATTGAGAAGGTTAGTTTTTGCCCTCACGCTGTCTCTACAGGTTGGAAGCTGTTAGGATTTTGTAGCAAACTGTAGTTTTTTTATCTGCTATCTCTCATAGTATCTGGTATCTGGCTGTTGGACTCTTGCTGCCTATTGTGAGGCAGGTGGGCAGAATCAGACAGCGGGTGTGTATGCACTGCAGTGAGCTGCCTGCAAGCTGCTTCAGCTGTTGTGGCAGTGTGACTGAATCTTTGCCATGTGCTTGATACATGAGGAACTGGATATTTTCGTGTGGCATCCAGATATCTGTGTAAAGAGACTGCAGAACAGTCCTTTCTGAAACATTATGCACAGCTTGCTCTGAAATACACATTTGGAGGATTGGTTTACAGTGCTAAACTGCATATGCAAATCTCAGTACAGGCTGGAAAACTGCCAGCAGTGTTTGAAGTCAGTGCTTGTGAATGTACTATTTTTCTTACACAGGAAGATGAGGATAGGCTGACTGAAGATAAGCCTTCAAGAGAGAATGAAAATGCCAAAGAAACAGAAAATCCATTGGCAGTGTTGAAAGGGATTTTATCAGAGGTACGGTATGTAAAGAGTTCATTGCTTCAATTTTGATGTTAGGGAACCCAGGAGAAGGGGCTGAAATGTGCAGGAGGCAGGCTTAACAGTACAGAACTCTTCCAAGCTTATTGTGAAACATGTAAAACTCATAATACAGCCCAATTTTAGGATGAATCGTGGCAACTCATACAAAAAAAAGATGTGTTTTTTTTTTTTTTTTAGTATTTTGTAAATTGCTTCTTATGGTGTTGCAGAATGTGATGCTACTCTGACTTGTTAACAAGTATCCATGACTTAATCACTCAGGAATTGCTTTCTTTGTGTTGTTTCCTTGACATCTGTAACCTTCATTATCTTAGTTTTTAATTTCTCTGTAGGAAGAATGTAAACAAATTCCTGTGGATCAATTAGGGCAGAAGTTCTTGGAGAAAGTAAAGGTGTCCTGGAACAAGAAATACCGAAAACAGTACGGAGCATTACGAAAGGTAACGTGTCTGTCTGTTACTTTCTTTTTTATTATGAAGGTAACCTTATGTTTCTATTGAAGAATCAGTAGGATGACAATTGAAAATACTGGCACTTGGACTAGCAAGTGAATGCATGTGTAAGAGATTTGTTTGTGAGCCAAATTAATGGTCTGAGAAACACAACCGGGATGCTCAACAGCTTATCAGCCTGAAAGCTTTTTTCCATCTATACTGTTTATTTTTGGCCTAAAAAAGAATCAGCTTTGGGTACTAAATATTGTCTCACTTGTGTCTGTGGGTAAACCTGCAAGAGCAGTACTGCCACTTGGCCATAGAAACAGTGGTGAGAATTAAAGAAGAAATGCAGTGCTGCTTTGAAGTCAGACCAGAAATGGGTTTTGGAAAAAGAGGCACTTTTTGCTTGGTTAGGGTACATCCATTAAGTTTAACGCTTCAAATAAAGTCTTGTTTTTCTCTAATTAGTTACTACTTCATGTTCTTGCACTTTAAGGAAAATGCTTACACATTTATGTTACAGGTTGTGGAAAAAATCATGCTGCTCTTTGTTAAGAAGACTAACAATAGAGGTTGCAAGTAAATTTAAATTATTTGTGAGATCTAATGTGGATCTTTCACAGAGAGCCCTTTTTCTGACCTCTGTAGAGAATGTATAGAAAGAAGTTCAGAGCTCCCAGTGTTAACAATCTCCAAGTTTGAGTGCTGTTGTGAGCATTACCACAGGTGACCTAGAGCTTTTGTCTGGCTGTGTTTTTCTCTTTATTTTTCTTCCCTTTTTTTCCCTGAGGGAGTTGTGGACGTATGGTTCTCTAATTTTTTTCTTAGTATGGTGTTTTTGGTTTGGTTTTTTTTTTTTTTTTTGTTTTTTTTTTTTTTTTTGGTTTTTTTTGGTTTTTTTTGTTTTTCCCATGTATTTGAAAACAAAAAATACCTATTGAGAAATCAGCTGGAGTGAGTGGGTTGCGTGTATGAATTTGAGGACAAATTGGGTCACTGTGCTGATGCAATCAGGTGATGCAGTGTTACATTTAACATTGAGGATCTTCCTTTACTAAAATGTCGTTACTGCACCTTGTCCTTGCTTTTATTTTTAGTATTTGCAGAATCATCCCCAGATATTTCAGTTCAGTCCTGATGAAAATAAAGTTGGTTTAAAGGAAAAATACAAGCTCCCATTTAAGTCGGATTTTCAAGGACGAGATTTCCGAAGCCATCCTCAGGAGAATGGTATCCTATGGAACTCAGAAAAAGCAGCTCTAAGGCTAGGAGAGAGTTCTGCTGGATGCCATTGGTTTGATCTGAATGATTCAAAAGTCCAGCCCATCAAAGAGGAGGATATTGAGAAACAATTTCAGGGTAAAGAGAGTGCCTACATGCTGTTCTACCGCAAGTCTCAGTTGAAAAGGCCTCCTGAAGGTACACAGAATTCCTCTTTATGTTCTGAGGGGCTTCCTTCATTGATATTGAGATTTTTCAAAAGGGTGAAGGCAGTTGGGCATTTCTGTCCTTTGCCTGAGTATCAGGGATGCAGATGTCTTCTAGAGCTAATTGAAGAAAAGAGTTAACTCAAGGTACAAGAAAGTAATCTCCGAGGAGATTGTGAACAGTTAATTGGCTGTAGCTGACACTGAACTTTTTCTAATATGCTTCACAGGTAGTAGCAGAGGTGCAAGATCTTGCACCTGGGTTGTGGCAGCCCCGCTCCAGAACAAGCTGGAGGATGTAAAGGTGGAACACAGTCCTGGCAAAAAGGACCTGGGGGTCCTGGTGGGTGGCAGCTGGGCATGAGCCAGCAGTGTGCTGTAGATGTTCACTGCAGGGGAGTTGGACTCCGTGACCTTGAAGGATCCTTTCCAACTCAAAGGATTTTGTGACTCTATGATTCTAACTTGTCCTACTGAAAGAAATAAAAATTGTTACTAATTTAATCACTTATCAGTTTCCCTTAGGGAAAGACAGATGTAAGCATAGAAGACGTAAAAGCTCTTGTTCTGATTATTGTAAATTAATTTTATCTATTATGAAAGGTTCAGTGTTAATGCATCAGGCTTTCAATGGTTACTGTTGTAACATCTCATCTCGCTTTCCTTGTTACCAAAACACATTTTTGAGCCGAAGCCAAACTAGATTATATTATTTGTTGCAGCTCGAGGAAATCCAAGGTACCAAATTCCTGAACACCTTCTGAATGAAATGAATGCTGCTAACATGGAGCTGCAAAAAAAGAGGTATATTAATGTAACTGTACATTAATCTTAACTGTACATTAAACTGTAATCTTTTCAACAGCATTCTTCACCTACATATCTCAGAAGTGATTTAAAATGAAAGAAACTCCTAGAACAGGTGTAGAGTCAGCCTTTAGAATGATTCAAAATCATAGATGTTAAGGACTATGAACTTTGTCTTTTTTTCTTGTCCCCCTTCTTCTTGCTAATGGAACTGGATGCAGTTACAAAGGAGGAAGGCATAGATGTCTGACAATTCCCACAAAATTCCTCTTGTTTTGTGCTTGTGTTTTGAGAATGTTTATCTGTAACAGCTTGGAAAAAGAAAGCTTACCATCTCCACATCCCTGAAGATAAACTTTGTCATCTTGTTCAGGAAGGTCAAAGCAAGGTGTAGGAATAAGCCCTTCAACAATGTGTTCTGTGCAAGTGGAGGATTGTACACAAAATGAATCGTCAAAATCTTCGAGCAGCTTTTTGCATATTCCTTGATGATGGGGGTGGGGGGGAATGTGACGTTGAATTGAGGGTATCAATTGCATGACAGCTGCCCAGAAGCATCCCTGAAATAGTTCAGCCATTTGGCAGTGGTCAATTCATCACTTTTTTTTCTGCTGTTATTCTTTCAAGAGCGGAGTATGACTCAGCAAACAATAGCATTGATTTACATCTCCATTTGAGCACACGTTATAAATTTCACAATGGGGCCTTGCACCCTTCACTTAGTTGGAAAGAGAGCGTTCTAGATCTGACTGTTGACAGAAGAAAAACTCTAGGAGACCTTCGCCAATCAATTTTCCAGGTATTTGCTCTATTAAGCAAACATTTATTTTTAGTTGGGCTCCAACAGCATTCGTGTATTTGTGGCACTATTTTTATTTCAATCAGAAATTTTCCTCAGTACGTGTGGTAGGCTGAGAACTATTTGAATTTTCACAAGAGGAAACATTGGTTTGAGGTCAGCCCTTCAAGTATTTTAAAAGTCATTGACTAATTGGTGAAGCTTTAATTAAGTAGACTTCAAATAATTACCTTATAAGGCTTATAATTGGGCAAGAATGGTTGGACTAGATGATCTTAGAGGTTGTTTCCAACCTTGTGATTCTTTGGTTCTAAGAATTGTTACTTTGCAGAACTCTGGAACGTGAAGAGTAAGTCCAGTTTGTCGGCAGACTGGTACTTGCATTTTTGAGGATTTGTCAGGTCTTCATAGAGAATATTTAGAGTAGTTTAAGAGAAAATAAGAGGAAACAATAATAAATCTAACTCAGCTATGGATTGTAATGTGTGCAGTTGTACTCTACTGTGTTAAAGGAACGTGACCTTTCATGAAAGGTTTTCTGTCTACATCTCAAACAAAGCTAACTTGCTCTCTGGAAACGGTTTGCTTACAGGTTACAGCCTTTGGTTGGTATCCAGTTGAAACCATGTTAGTCTACATGGTGACTAGTCTGAAAGCACAGGTCCTAAATAATCTTGTGTGCTTTCTGTGCTACTAGTCTTGTTGAAGGAAATAACAATAAGCTGTTAATTGTGAAAGTGAGCTTGTTAGCCTCTGACAGCTTTTGGCAAAGTTATAATTCTGAGTGGTTTGAGTAGTTGCTTACTCAAGTCTTACAACTCTATCTTTTCTTTTCTTACTGATTAGATGATGAAATCTTGGGAAGGAGACATGGTTCTCAGTAGTGCTAAACCTTTACCAGCAGGGCTGCACCTTTATCAGGCACTTGATGGTAAGGCTACCACATATAAGAGCTCAGTGTGATTTGTGTGGATGCTGCAGATTTAAAATGCCAGATGTTTGGGAGGAGCACATTCTGTATTCTGAATTCTGTAAAGGAAAGTACTTGCCTGAAGAATACATTAATTAATATTAATTAATGTTTTAAAATAATATGCTCTGTTTCCAGCTTTACGTTGCTATGCAACTTCAGGTGTTAGTCCCCAAAAGTCTATCCAGTCATTGGGTATTTATGGTCTGTTTCAGAAAACAGGGTGCTACCAGAATGTAACCCAGCTTTGAGAGATACTGACATCAAAATACAGAGGCACCATTGATATTCTTTCAAATCTTAGTACAGTTCTTAAAATAACAGTAAGTTTACAATGTTTTGAGGAGTACACGTGGAATATGTAGTAACTGAGTGTATAGATTCACTGTGAAATTGCACCTAGATAATCCTCACCATGCAGCTTTGTCAAATGTTAATGTGAGCCTCGGTTTGCAAGGGAAATTGAATTGAAACCCCTGTGCTGTGGCCATCTTCACTGAGAGGATGTGTACGTAATGTTGCTCTTGCTACATGAGTAAACCCTGACTTACCCCCTGTAAATTCTGATCACACAGTAACTTTTATAATTACAGACTTCAGACAGTAAAATATGCAGCATTTATCAGCTTACAGCTGACCCTGCACATCTGTTTTGGGGCTGAATAGCTTGACAATTTCCTCTTTTTAGGAGATGAGCTGACACTGGACTGCTTTGGGCTGGCGGATGGAGCAGACATTTTTGTGTGGAATGGGAAGGAGGTAAAAGAGAACCGAATATCCTTTCCCTTTGTCAGTTCTAAAGAAATAAGCTGCAAATTCCCAGACGTGTTTTTAGAAGCTTTGGTCTGTTCTGCAGATGTGCTGCTGATATGCTAACATTTGGGGTCACCACTTAGCCCCATCTAGAAGATGACACCTTCACAGTTTGTCACTGTTCCCTTCTGTGTGATGTTAGAGTTATGCAGTGCGGATGATGGTACGGTCAGGTCCATAGGTGTCTGAATGCACTGCCATTTTATGCTGGAGTATGTTCTGAGAAGACCTGGTGCCTCTTGGAAGAAGATGGGCTGATAGCAATGTGATAACAGAAACTTCTGCCCTATGGTGAATCGTTCACCCGTGTTTGTTTGGTCTCCCTGAAGTACTACGCTCATTTTCGATGTTTAATCATCCCTTTAATTTTTAGACCCTTACTTAAATTTCAAATACTCTCCTAAGTGATTGTGTTGACACAGTACAAGTTTGCCCTCTGTATCTATTGTGGAGAAAACATTGCTTCAAAAAGACTTGTGAAAGTATGCATTTATTTACTGACTTATCAAAAAGAAGCAAAGAAAAGCCAACAAACTCCCTCCAGGTTGACAGAGTTGTTCTGCTCTTGCTTGATCTTTAGGTAAGGTCTTCAATGCTCCAGCTTCCTACACAGTCAGAGTCTTTATGACAAGGAGTTATAACTTTGACCTGGGTTGAAGATCAGGAAGGCCAGATTTCAAAATGTAACTCTTCTGAACAGCCTCAGTCACATTATTATTCTTCCTTTTAATATCCCGCAGGGCTAAATTTCACTGCTCTTAATTTGATGATGTTGTGTCGTCTGTTTTCACAGTTAGCTATCAGTGTTTTTACTGCACATACAGACTCAAACACACCTTACATTACACTTTCCCTTCCTTGTACCTTTGAGTTACTGTGGTTTTGTTCAGAAGGCGTTCGGTCAAAACTGGTTTATTCCTAATGCTGTGAGAGGATCCACCCTGTTCCAGCAGTTTTACTGTTGTCTCTTATCAGTGTATAATCTTTTCTGTTTACAATGGAGTGTATTATCGATCACTGTGTAAACATTGCATTCCTTTCTTCAGGTTGGTGGTGTGAAGGTGATGGCAGGCCCTGATCATCAACCTGTTCTCTTAAACGTTCTTCGTTTAGTGGAGCATAATGAAGGAGGGAAGGGTCAGCATTTCACAGAGTCGCAGCACGTTTTTCCATGCAGCACAAAACTGGGCGATCTGCGCAGAGCATTAGCACCAGCAGGAGGAATAATCTTAAAGAATGACTCAGGACATAAAGAAGCCAAGAACTGGGAGGTTCTTCTTGAAGAACATATGAAGGAAACAGTCAAAACCGTTGGTCTGACAGACGGATGTTCAGTATTAATCTTAGACAGCCATGACCAAAGGTAACCATTTTGATTGTGGGTATGATTGCAGAAAGGCAGCTGTGGCAAAATCTGTTCAGTTAAAATACTTGGTGTATGTGTGTGTACATACATGTGTAAATATGTCTGTTTTGTGAATCAAGCAGGCATTTTGAGACATTCTAGATTCAAGTTAATATAATCTTACATTTTTGAATGTAAGACACTTCTCAACCATTAGGTATTTTTTAACATGCAGGTGCAGTCGCATCCTTTGATTTACATTTATGAAGGGAAAGGCCTAATGAGCAAATTGTGCTGACACGTGAAACTTGATGGAATGAGAGAACTGAGCTGTATCAGAAGAGTATGCAGCTCTGCTGAACCTCCTCGTTGAATCTCAAGTTGCCAAGAGCAATTTCTGCTCTCGTTTCCCTTCCGAGTTTATAGTCCTAAGGCTTCTGTTTTGAGAGATGTGTATATGTGCTAGTTAGATAAATTCTGACTGTCTACTTGAAACAGTTCTGAAACACTGAACCTAAATCAGTGACAGGAAAAAACAGTTTCTGTGTAGTAGCAGATCCACAGACAAAGTCTCAAATTTTAGTTTTGACTTAGCCTCCTTTATTAGTATTTTTCCAGAAGGTTTAAATTGTCTCACAAAGTGAATTGGATTCTTAATTACCATCAGAAGCTCAGTTTCCATTGAAAGACAGTTACCAAACCAGTTTTTTCAGGTGAATTTAACAGGGAGCCTAATGGTGCCTGGATTGTACCTGAAGCTGCCACTGTTAGTGACCTTGGCATTGTTGATTTAGTTAAGAGCTTTGATATTTATCAATCTAGCCCAGATAAGATACAGTTTCCCTGTCTTTGACCACCTTTGCACTGCTCACTTTTACAGCCTGGTGAATATTTCAAGTGGTAACTTGACTGCTTTTACATACGACATCAGCTGGCTCCAGGTGAAAAACTTCTGCGGAAGGGATGATGAGGAGAAACACGTTAAAATTACTGCCACAATTGAAACAGTAAGAAGTCTGATCATCCAGGGTGTAACACTGGGTGTTGCCTTGATAAGTTTTTGCCAGAGAAGGTGGGCCGGTTACTAAGGATTGGAGTTAGCATTTGAGCTGATGTTTCTCTGTGAGACAGTAGCCTGAAGCTTGCACCAGCACAGCCCTGGTAACTGAAAGCAGCACAGTTGGTGTGTTAGTCTTTTTGGACCATCCTATAAGCGTGAAACCATGAAACCATCCCATGAAACCATGCCAGTAAATGAATCCCAAGAGGAGAAAGATATTATTTCCTTTCAATGCAGGATAAGGAGAAAAATTCTGTCTTTCCCAAGAAATAGTTTCCTCGGTACCTTTTCTGCTGTTAGATTATTGCCTGTTACACAGTGAAGTCCTGCTTAGTACCAAGTGTAAGCTAAACGTTTTCAAGATGTTACTTTGTTTCATAAATAGGAAAATCTAAAGATTGTTTTCCTTTCCTTGGAATTCTGTTTCTAAGATGCTTTTCCTTGAGTATGTTGCATATAATAGATGTACAGGTATCATTTTTATGTATTAATATTAATAAGAAATGTATTTTTAGCTGTGTATAACGTTAGCAGGAGTAAGAATGTAACTCTGAAGTCAGTCATTTTGTGAACTGGCATTTGAATAGCAGATGTGTATCTGGCTTTTTTGTTTGGAAGTGTTAATGTTGCTTTCTTTTAGGTGATGTCAGATATCAAAATGAAAGCAATACAGGAGCTACAGCTAGAGGAGGAGCTGGGTAAGCGTTAAACAGGTTTACTTAAAAATCTGGTCATGCTGAAATTTCACAGACTCACAGTATGGCTGGGGTTGGCAGGGGCCCAAGCCCTTCTCCAGCTGGGTGCCCAGCACCGTGTCCAGGTGGCTCTGGAGACCTCCAGGGAGGAGATCCCACGGCCTCTTTGGTCAACCTGTGTCAGTGCTCAGCTTCCTGCACTGCACACAAGTGCTGCCTGATGGGCATAAGGAACCTGCTGTGCTCCAGTCTGTGCCCAGTGCCTCTGGTCCTGGCACTGGGCACCTCTGACAGGAGCCTGGCTCTGTACTTTTTACACTCTTCAGGTATTTATAGACATGGCTAAGATCCCCTCTAAGCCTTATCATTAACTGCATTCTTCCTTTTTCTGTCAGACAGCTTAAAACAGCAAATGCAGTGCTGTGAAGTGATTACTAGACTTTTTGGAAAGACGGGAGGGTGCCAAAGATTTAAAGTTCTCATGATTCTATGTAAAATAATTCTTTTCCCAAGCTTTAAAAACTAACAAACAAACAAAAACAGTGCAAGTCTTGACGAAAATATATTTTAATTTCCCAGAAGCTTTTTGGTAGGAGTAATCATGTCAAGTCTCTAGAAATCTAACTCCTGCTGATGTAATATCTCCATCCAGAGTCCTCCAAGTTAAACTTGCTGTTATCTTAAATATGTTACCTGTCTGAACCTCTGAGCCAAATTTATGATGATTTGAATTGCTTAACACTCCTACCTCTCTTCCCCACCCCTTTCTGTTGCAGCAAGTGAAAGCTGTCTTAGACCTGTTGGCAGAAATGGGAAACTTCTCTCTCCAGGTAAATCTGTACACTTATTTTGGTGTAATTCCATAGCTTAAGCTGGGAGACATGAAGTTTCCTTCTATTAATTTCTGAACTTAACTATAGCTGTTGTTTTCTCTTTTCCAGTTTTACTGTTTACCAGCAGTACCAATAAACAACTTGGAGTTAAATATTCAACTTGCTTTTATTACTTTCATGCACAGAGAGCAGCACCTGTCAGCATACCTGCTGTTGTTTATTGACCACTGGCCTTATTCTTCAAGGCTTTGGGAATTAACAAACTTCTGTTCTCTGTGCTTGTTTTATAAACTGCCAAGTTTATTAATGATCTGGTGTGAGTCATAGCTAACAGATCAGAGAACAGATCCGTTACAGAGCAGCTTTGTGGACGTTCAGGAATCAGAGTCCTTGCTCCATGATTTTCTGTTTCTTGAAACAAAATGGACTACGTGCATTTGTTAGTGATGGTTGAGGTTGGGTTACTGGATTTCAGTGCAGCTGGAGCAGTGGACTTGAGTACTGTGGTGGTGGAGGAAGCGCTGTTAAGCTCCTGTTCACTGTGAGAAAAACAGCTTGTGTCTGTGGTGTGTCAAACACAGTAATGCTTGGACTTCTGCTTTCGTGAGAGTGGAGGAACAGCTTCGTGCCACAACGCAGTCTTTGATTTAGATGAGCACATAGTATCCTTGTTGCTGTATAACTGAGTTCCTGAGGGTCTGTGTTCAGCAGAATAGAAGCCCCAGCACTGCTTTTCTCATTGTTGGGGGAGCAATAAGAAATTGAGTGGATCAGCTTTGTATTTTCCGTATTTCTATTTTTCTAATACATTTTGTTAGCGAAGTACTACCAGGAGAGCAAGGTTTGGGCATAGGTTTGGGCCAGGTAACCTGCAGATGTCCATTTCAGTCTGAATTCTTCTGTCACTCACTGTGTATCAGGAGGTGGTTGGGGAGGAACCTTTATATAGATATACTCTAGTCATAGAAGGCTTATGGGTTTAGTGTGAACACGGAAAAATAAGTTGTCTAAATGTCACTGAACATTTTTATCTTTGTCTAAAGAGCAGAGTGAATGGATATTTTCACTAAGCAGCACTTTATGATGATTTCCTTATTTTCCTCTTCCTGAAGTGCCTGAAGATTATACTGTCAAGGAGGCAGAACTGAAAATGGGAAGCTTGCTAGGGCTGTGTCATGGAAAAGCTCCAACTTCCACTCAGGTATAACAGAGCAGTGACTGAAAAGAGACTAGAATTTGCTTTTGTGCTTTGTTTACATTTGCCGGTATTTCACGTGGTCCTCTTCTCATCTTTAGAATGGTTGTAGTGGTAATCAAAGGGGGGGGGGGCGGCGGGCGGGGGGAAAATGCTTGCTGAATTTATGTACTGGCAAGAAAGTTTGCACCACTTAGCTCAGTTGCATAAGGCCAAGAGCATAAATGTCAACAGTTAATATGGCTCATTTGACTCACAGTAAATCACTTGTCATTAGTCTGCAATGGTCCATCTTCTGATGCTTATAAACTTCTCTAAAGAGCATAGAGTGGAAAAAAAAAAAAAAAAAATAAAAACTGGGGGGGGGAGATGCTAAGTTTTATATCTGAGTATTTACAATATGGAGGAGGGAAAAAAGCAATTTATATTTTTTAAGGTCTCAAGATCAGAGTGTCAAAAGACAGCCAGCAGGCTACTCTTTCATTTGCAGCGTGCTCAGTGCGTGCATATCTGTTTTATGAAGCTCACCTGATGGCCATAACTCAATTGCATGTGCTCCTCTAGATTGTTTGCTGTAGCCAAAATTAGCTTCCGTGCTGTTTGACCCATGGCTGGCATGTGATAGCTGATACAGTAACTGCGTGCAGTAGGGAGAGCTGTTTCACACTGTTTCTGTACTTCAGTGTGTTCTGAACAGTTTATGCTTGCATTTTTAGCTCTTTTTATATTTTCTTATTGAACGTGAGCACTGTACGAGCCCTGAGATGGAAATCGTTGTGGAAGAGACTGCCTCTGTAAAAGAAGTAAGTCCAGATTCTCTTCAACGCTTTTTTCATGCTTGTGTCAGGTCTGCTGCTCGTAGGGAGCTTTGCTTCGTGCCCATGAGTCACTTCAGCTAAGGCACAAAGTCAAGGGCAGCGTTTCAGCTCTGAAAGACCAGTGGGGAAGATTGCCTTGAACTTTCACCAAGTAATACTTCACAGTTAAAACAGAAAAATCCAAGGAGATGCCAACGAGCAGTAGAACTTTGTATCCTCCATCAGTCAAGGACAGTATTAGCGTGATTTGTAAAGGATGATAGGATGTATGCAGGCTGGAAATTAGATAGTCATCTTAAAAGATTTAATATGCAGCTCAGCTACTCTGTGCCTATGCAAGTGTAGGAGTTGAACAGGAATTAATCACTCTGGATGTGTTTTATGTTAGAAAATTCTAGTGCTGATTTGCTGAAAACTTTATTTTCTATGCACTACAAGTCTCAACACTTTTTTTTTTTTTTTTTTTTTTTAGTGTCTAAATTTAATGCTGGAAAAATCTGGATTATCAGGTTAGTTGTACTATATTGTTACCTAATGACCTATTTTAAGGCATTTCCATAACTGTAAGACAGCTTTTGCTATGTTAAAGATAATAAGTTTGCTATGGTCACTTGTGTGTCACTGTAATGTGAGCAGGGGGGATGAAACAATTACAAACTTGCAGGTTTTTCTCTGATGAAAACTTGACAGTGGAGTTTCCAGCTTTATATTTAATTGAGATGAAGCAAAGCCCACATTTTCTGGGCTGCTCATTTGGGTGCACGTGCAGGTGGAGGTGTTTGGCTGTTTTCTATTGCAGCCATTGTGTGAGATTAACTTCTTCAGGAAAAAGACATCCTTAGGTCACTTGGCAAAAAGAAGTTAATAAAATGAGATCACGGTTTGGACGTTGCTTTGGAATCTGATGGTAGGAATTCTTGTCACTGAACTTTTGCATGAGGTTTAAGGAAGACAGCAGCAGCATCACACGTGGATTTCCTGGTTGTACATCCTCCTGTTGATGCTGCTGGGGTCTTGGAGTGGCAGTTTCTCCCAGCTTCAGTACCAAGCACTCACTGAATGCTGAACATCTTATGGTGATGGCTGCAAATTGAACCATACACCATAAACATAAGTGTACTCCTGAAACATGTTACTGTCAGAATACACGCTGAGCAGTCCAAGAGAAAATGAAGGATTTTGCTCTTGTGCACATGTACACGTGAGTGGAGTAGATAATGATGTCTTGAAACTATAAACTTAACCTTTATTTCCCTGTGGTGTAGTTTTACTGCCAAGAAACAATGGTCCTGTTTTCGTTGCTTTCTTTTCAATTGCCATTTTTGAAAAACTGAATTTGGCTGTGTGTAGAGATTTGCAGTCTGGCTGCTCTCAAAGAAATGTCAGACTTCACTTGAATTGATCCCACAGTACTCCTTTTGTCCACAGAAGTGATTGGTGAGCTTTTGTTTATTTAGGGAAGTCAGAAATGTACCCTGAAAAGAATAAAGAGTATTTTCATGAGTTAAAGAAAGGAAATGTAGGTAGGTGAGGAATTACCTTTATATCTTCTAAGCCTGAACAACAAAAGGGTGTTTTTAGGGTGTGGGGAGGGGTGTGAAGGTGGCACTTGATTCGGTTTATCAGAGTGGTGTTTTAAAATGCACAAAGAAGCAAAACAGCCTGAACAATTTCTGCTGTGGGGTTTCCTGTGCTCTTTTTTTCCTTCTTTTCCCCTGAAATACTGCTATTAACTCATTTTCCATGGGGTTATTTTTGTTGTTTGTAGGTGACAGCTGGCATTTGAGAAGGATGGACTGGTGCTTTGAAGCAGGAGAAGCTTTAAGTCAGGAAGTAAGAGGATCTTAGTTTTGACTTGACTCATATAATACCTTATTTATTCCACTTTTTCTGTGGAGATTTTTCCTGAGGAGGAAGTCTGCCTGGTGTTTTGGTGTGCTGTGTTACTTCCCGAGACTGTATGAAGCCAGAACCACAGATTGAAATGGGAAACTTACTCACTGCCTCCCGTTTTCAGGGACTGTTAGTAAGCTACGTTGACCTAAGGTCTGGGATCTGAGGGTGCTTGTATCTACAAACAAGAAATGAGGTGTTAATTGGTAAGAGGTGTGAAGGAGCTCCACAGGACAGCAGGCTGCTATAGAAGTAATAATAGCCGGGTCCTGTTGCAAAGTTGGCTCCTTGTAGTGAATGCAGAAAAATAGAACACCTTGAGCATTTTGCATGCATGGCACAAAAATTAAATAAATCATGCTTTAGGAAGCAAAGCGTAAGAGCATACAGGCTCACAAGGACACTGTGCTTTCTCTTCCTGCAGAATGCTACTCTGAAGGAACTTAATGTTTGCAGAGGAGATACTTTGGTTGTAACTGAAGGAAAGCTTCCACCGAAGGTAAAAGTAGGGTGATTGTGTTCTTTAGTCAGCTGACAATCTGGAAACTTGAGCATGGAAGTAATTTCTTCTTCGGATTATTTCAGAATTTTTCAGCTGTGATATTTTCAGTCAAAGATAATGAATAATGGTAAATATATAGAACTGTTTTTTATTTAAATGAACACTTACAATGTTCCTTGTCTGTCTATACTCTCTCAATTCCTGTAGTAAAAGTTTTGCTCATTTCACCTTCTTTGCTTAGGAGTGTGTCAGTGTTGACAGATCCAGAGGAAATCTGTATTTCTGGCATGCAAGGTTCTTGTGAAGACACAAATCTTACACTACTATTTCCTCACAAAATGTTCTTTTCTTTTTTAAAAAGTAACTTTTTATGTCAGGTTTTGTGCTGAGGGTTGTGTTTGAAATTGGAGGACCCTTCTGGGAAACTCCAGTCAGAAGTGGTCAGGTAAGGTTTCTGTGCTACAGGCTGTTGGCAGGAAGTTGGAACAGAATGCCAAAAGGCTGCAGGGAGCTCTGGGCAGGCAGCAGAGATGCCAGCACTGTTGTTGAATGAATCCAGCTTCCTCTGGCAAGGTTGTATCTATGTCTACATCTCCAGACAAGTGTCACTCTGTTGAGTCTGTAACAGCAGATGCCAGAATGGCAGAGCAGGGTGGTGATAATATGTGACATGAGGCTAGACTTTATCACCAAGTATTATATGTATAAAGGATGCCCGTGCCTTTACAAAAGCTCAGAGTTGGGCTGATGGTTGGACTCGGTGATGTGGGTCGTCTTTTCCAACCTTCATGACCCTGTGATTGAGGTTTTTTTTTCTTTCTCCCTGTGTAATTTGCATTGGAACACGTAGGCTATCTGGCACTTTGTGTTCATTTCTCAGGGTTTCTTGAAAATTCCTATTTGGTGGTTGAAGTTTTCGAGTCAAACGAAACGTGAAGAGAAGGCACGAGACCAGGTGAATGGGATGACCTGCAAGATGGATGCTTTGCAAGTTTCTCCTGCAGGAGGTGAGCTTGCTTAGTTTTTTAAAAAGGAATTGTGTTGCCTGTGATAGCACTGAGGGCTTTCAGTCCAAACCTTAATTTTATTCTAAAGTTTTAAAATGCTCCTGAGGCCTGTGAGCAACTGTATGAGTTTCAGTAGGTTTGTGGTGAAAGAAACCACTTAGGAGGCAGACACCATTTTTTTTTTTATTAGGCTGAGACTGTTCCTGTTTCATGGCTGTATTTGGTCAAGAATAATTTTCTGTTTACCAGTCCAGGCTGTTTACCTGCCAGCAAAATAAATTCCTTCCCCACATTTAAGTCAGTGGCTGTATTACAAGGCACCAACTGAAGGACAATGCAGGTGATTGGCTTCAAATGTCACACTCTTAATGTCACATCAGGGTATATTGCTTTTGGAGAAGGTGTAGGATGAGTGATAAGTAAATCCTACATTGAATAGCAGACATTATATTCAGTATTCTGTAGGGCTTTTTTTTTTTCTTCTAAGGATCAAACCAAAAAAACAAAAAACCCAACAACAAAACCAACAGCTTGAGGAGGAAAATCAAGTAAGGGGTAGAGAAGGAAGACAAAATGCAATTGGGGAAACCTGCAAACTGGAAAAGGAAAAACAAACAATTTTCCATTCTGCAGGAAAAATGAAACTCTTCCTTCACTACTGAGCTGTGCTGCAGAGAAATTTGGTTGTTTTGGTTTGGATTTTTTTTCCATTTCTCTCCTTTTCTCGTTAATTTTTTTCGGAATTTGGCTTTTCCCCCTGTTTGTTTTGGTAGTGTAGGTAAGAGCAGTTTCCACTTCAACACACTCTGCGTTTCAGAGTCATGGCTGCTAATTAGTCATAATTATGAATTTGAGTAACTGGTCTTAATTTTACAGTGTAGAATTCATCTAGAATTCTTCCTATTTGGCAGCTAGCAGTGTATTTTATCAACTGTATGTTAGGGTTTCTTAAAGTACCTTCAAATATCTAAGTCTCTAAGTGAAATCTCACCTACAGGTGAGTTATCTCTTAGGAAGATGTGTGAAGTCACTCATTTTTCTATTGTCTCTTTCTGTCTCCCTCTTTTCCTCTTGCCCCCATCCGAAGACTCACCAGAACGCATCCAAGCAGACCTGGATCTGTGCTATGCTGGCATTACAGAAATAGCAGGCGAATCTTCTTTGGAAGATCTGAAGATGCAGGTTAGATGTTCTCCTGTGTTGGAAATGCACAGCGACACAGTGATTCATTGAGCTATATTAATACATATTTTTTATTTCCTTTTCCCTTGTCTCCAGTATGTTCTGATATGGCATTTGCTTATATGCCATGTTCAGTGGTAAGTACCAAGAGGCAGCTTGAGCATGTAGCTCAGATAATTCCTTAGTATGTTCCCTGCAGTTGCCATTCTACCTGTCATGTGTCCTGAGCTGCAAAAGCCTTCTTGCACTTCATCTGGAACTTTGGCTTGCAGCAGTATTTTTATTTCACAATGTAAAAATTATTCATGACAAGCACACACATACAAGCACTTCCTACAAAGCCACTCTCCATTTCCACGTTGTTCTCGTATTGGTTCTTTGCGTGTTTTTTTGTATGTTGAACCTAATGAATAAAGAGTTGCTTTTGATGCACAGAAAGTCACGTTTGTCACTCAGGAAAGTACAGCTTAGTTTCTTCAGCCAGAAACTAAGGTGCCTTTTAGTGCTTGCTTTTTTTTTTTTTTTTAAACCAGAAAACTATGAATTGAATGCACTTAAAGCAACAATAACAACAAAAACAGACCAGCAAAACCCAGCAAAAGAAAATGAAACAACAGCTTACTAGAGAATAATTAAAAAGAAAACCTATCACAAAGCTCTTCTGTCGGTTAGCTGGTGGGTTGCTCTACTTCACAGCGTGGGAAAGGATTCTTCTGATGCTGATACCAATACTTTCCATATTTGTTGTATCAATGTTGGGTACAACTTCATTTTCACAGTCTCATCCAAACTGCTGGATTTGCATCTCATGAACAAGATGTGCCTTAGCTTGGAAACAGTATTGTGTGCTCAATATGATTTGAAAGGAGCTTTTCCAGCACTTGGCTGGAGGTTGTGCTAGCGATTCTTCCAGCCTCATTTCCTCCCAATGATACAAACTTTGGTTAAAAAAAGAGATTGAATATTTAAGAAACTGATGGTAAATTTAGTAATGTTGGGAGGGAGTGAAGTCTGACTCGCTGTGAGGTTGAAAAGCAGATCTGTTGGTCAGACTCACTGTCTGCGAGTCTCTAACTAGAATAAATCTAAATGCCTTGCCCTGTTTCTAATTGCTTCAGACTAGCAATGAGAATCAGTCCTTTTTCTTTCGTTGTTTTCCAAGCAGACTGGCCTCTAAAATTATTGAAGAACTGTTCTGGTTTTTCAGGCTCTGACCTTAGCACAGTGCCCAGAGCACGTTATCCCACTGCCCACGTTCCTCAGAGCCTGGACGGTGGAAAACAGGCGCCCAGGCAGGCTGCTACGGCACAACAAGCAGCAACTCAGGTAGGTTTTGTACTGAAACACTCAAGCAGCCTTGCAACAGGCTGATGGTTGGGTTGTGTGATGGATTAGCGGAGAAATGAATCAGTTCAGTCCAATAAAACCCTTTTCTGATGATTTCAGTTTTTTGACAAGCACTTCTGTCAACTCAAATGCTATAGAATGGGGAGGCAGGAGCATAAGCAGCTCATAGCATGTTTATTATGCTAAACTTTAAATGTTTTTAAATGTAATTTTGGCACTTTTTCAAACTTTCTGTTGCTATAGTGTCTTGCTTTAGTTTTTCAGTTCAGCACAGGTCTCCTTGACTGGAACTATGATTTTTCTATTTGTGAATTTGGAGTACGTGTGTATCATCTTTTTATTTTCAGTGAATATAAGCTGGGTGCCAGAGTGGAAATCTGCATAGAACCTTTGCAGAAAGAAGAGAACTTGGGGTAAGTGCTTGAAGATACTTATTTGTTACTGCTATACAGTTGAGATGAGACTTTAATCTAGTAGCTTGTTCCTTCAATGCTCTGTCACTATAACAGATGTCTCTATGCAGGAATACTTTGGAGCCTGTCTTTATTTTCCTCCCATAGAGCTGTTGTTTAAAAACAAAGGAGGGTGGGTTGGGGTGATAACGAGAAATTCTGGATTCCAAGTGCAAGGTTCACAAGGGTGGTTTATTTTTCTCTTTCTGATGACAGCCCACATGAATTGCTGCTTCGAGTACAGATGGGCATACCAGGGGAAAGGGACTACTATAACTCCGTGGATTTGGTGTGGAACATCTCCAAAGAATGCACTACCTGGGCACTGAGGCAAAGAGTGGCTTCTCACTATTGTCTCCCTGTAGATAAAATTGAAATAGCCAAATACTTCCCTGAAAAATTTGAGTGGCTGCCAATATCTGGCTGGGTAAGATCTGGAGTGACAGAATGCAACAGCTGTGTTGGGAAATGTACACGTTGGTTTGTGCTGCAGTTCTTCAACATGCACGTTTGAATGCACAGCCCCAAATCCCTTCAGCATGATCTGTGAGGTGAATCTGGTGGAGGTGGTTTGCTTCTTCAAGAATTAGTTTAGGTCTTCGTGAGATCACAGTGAAGATGGTGTGATTGTTGATTGCCCCACGAGACAGCAGACTTTCACCTGGCTGGCACAACACAAGCCACTCTTTTTATAGTGGCTTTTCCTGTATTTCCTTGTGTAGGAAGAGAACGTGTATAATTTGCCCAAATATTTCAGTCTGTTGCAGTTATACAGTGGAAGTGACAGACATCTGCAGATATAACACAGTGAGAGCATTGCTTCTCTGTGCTGTGCAGGAGATCCTGTGGCTGAGGGTCACTGCTGATCAGTGTCATTTACTGAGCTTTATGGAGGTGAACTGCAAGAGGAGGTGTGGGAAAGGAAAGATGAGGATGTTTTTGTCTCTCAGGGGAGCTACAGAAAGCAGAATGGATAATTGATTTGCATGACTGTAAGGCTTTGAAGAATAGTCAGTGGGGACCCTTCACCCTTAGAAACTGCCGACGAAAATCAGTGTAAGCAGATTTCTGAAATCAGCCATGTGTTCTGCTTTGATTTTATTCAGACCCAGCAAATTTCGAAGAGAAAACGGAAGAAAAAACAGGAGAGTTTACAGTCAGCCCCTTATCACCTGAAAGATGGAGATGTCATCGGGGTGAAGGTAAATTAACTTGGCTTTAATTTTTGTGCAAGTGTTGGGCTTGGAAATCTTCGCCTCCGCGGTAACAAATCTCTTTCTGGTTTTCCTGGATTCTGCTACATCTGTGTGAAAGGGCTGGGGTGTGTATCTGACTGAATGCTCTGTGGAGAGGGAAAATTCGTTGCTACCGATACATTTTGGTTTTTCTTTGTGTTTTTGTTTTTTTTTCTTTTTTCTTTTTCCTCCTGTTCTTTTGAAGTCAATTTGGAACCTTCATGCTTCTCCCCTTATATCCTGCTACTGGCACTAGAGGGCATTGCTTCACAGGTTCTCCTGCAGTGCTTTCTTGAGTGCAAGAATCATAGAATGGCCTGGGTTGCAAAGGAGCACAGTGCTCATCCAGTTCCAACCCCCTGCTGTGTGCAGGTCACCAACCAGCAGCCCAGGCTGCCCAGAGCCACATCCAGCCTGGCCTTGAATGCCTGCAGGGATGGGGCATCCACAGCCTCCTTGGGCAACCTGTTCCAGTGCCTCACCACCCTCTGGGGGAAAAACTTCCTCCTCATATCCAACCTAAACCTCCCTGTCTCAGTTTAAAACCATTGCCCCTTGTCCTATCACTACCCACCCTCATAAGCAGCCGTTCCTCCTCCTATTCTGCTTTGTATTTGAGCATTATCCACAAGAAACTGGATTTTTCTTGCCCTTATTTTATCAATTGGGTTTTTCTTCCAACTCAGAATAAAACTCGAGAGCAGCAGCCACTGAACAAAATACATTCTAAATTGAAATCCATTTTCAAAATCAATATTGCCAATCTATGAACAGATTTAAAAAAAGAATAAAGCTGCAGGATATTGAGCTCTGAATTGGCAATAAAACTTATTTAGGAGACATCCAAAAGAAAACACTTCTGGATTTTAAAGCATTTCACTGGACGTGTGGTGTTCTATGCTGATGCATTAGGTTACTAAGAAAAATGCAACTCATTGTTAAATACAAAACCAGAGAAGGAGCTGAAAAATTTTGGTTGTCTTGCCTTTTTAAGTTGTCTGCATTTAACTAGAAGTCATTGTAAAATTAGAAGAAATGGACTGAAAATTAATTTCTTAAACAGAACATCATGTGGGAAGTAGTTTTGGCAGATGGAAATAAGCTAATACTCTGAATCCCTTTTGACAACAGAATCTTCTCCTTGATGACAGTAAGGACTTCAGCACAGTGAGAGATGATGTTGGAAAACAGAAGCAAAGGCAGCTTGCATTTGAGAAAAAGAAAAGGTATTGCCTGTTTACATTTATTCTTCTTTCAAAATCCAAAAACTGGAGAACTTCTGGGGCACTGCTAGCAGGCTGCTGCTGTGTGCACAGTTCTGGCAGTGCCAAGAGAAAAGTGCTCATATAACTCAGACTTGTGCCTTTAAGTGCCACATGCCTGCCTTGAGCATTTTTTTTGTCTTGCAACACGCTGGGAAGTTTGGCACTGCCTCAGGAGATGAAAAACTGCTGCACTGCTGTGGTGTCCCCTTGTAGGCTGTAAGTGGGAGCTCAGTGTTGTTCTTACACTGTAGTAGAAACCAGATTCCAGCCCGGGTGGCTGACGCTGCTCTTGCTGCTAAGGTTCAATACTAGTTTCAGGCATCTTTTTTCTCTTAATAGTCAGCAAGCTGAACGCTCCCAGGCCCATGTTGCATCTGAGGAAAAACTGAATGTTAAGCAACGTAAACCAGAAGTGGCTCTTTCCATCAACGTGGGAGTTTTCAGATAGCACCTGGAGATGATTTGCTGAGCAGAACATAGCACCAGTGTGCCACATGTGAGTGCCTCAACTGGACCAGCAAGAGGGATGCTTGTGCTCAGAGAGTCATCAGGAATCACCGAGATAAACTGGATATAAGATTTGGGATAACTCTGATCTGCTTCTAATCTCTCTGAGGAAGTGCTTCAGCATCCCTTAATCGATGTGGTACTTATTCTCAGGCTAGGTAAATGCACTTTATCCATGAGGAAACCGACTAATATATTGTAATACCTTTCGATGACTGTTTTGTAACCACCTTAAATGCTTCTTTTGTCAGATGCTGATGCACCATCACCACAGAGTTAGCTGCATTTTTGAGTGCAGTCTTAGATGTCTCTTTCTAGAAGTTACTTTTTCTTCCCTGATCATTGAGATTACTAAGGATACCAGAATTTACTTTTGTCTCTTTCTATTTAAACACAAATCTGTGGTAACTTTTCTTGGTGTCACACGGTTGATTTACAGCCTCTGTCACAGAATGGGACGTACGCAGCCAAC